AGATGGGGCCACCACTGGGGGTGGAGCGGGTCTGGGAGAAGTTGACAAGGTGGGGGCTGGACACAGTGGTTGCAAGAGGCCTGGGGGCTTTGGGGATGACATTCAGGATCCTGCTCCCAAACCAGTGCTGTCTCTGGCTTGCTTTTGCCCCTGCTTTCCCCGTGGGCTCCCAGGACAGCCCTGAAGCCCTGGTCCCTGAACAGAAGGTCCTCCTGGATCCCCAAGTGGGCACAGGGAAAACTCTCTGTATGACCCTTCCTACCTGCGGGACCTCCTACTGCAGGGTCATTGTGTCCAAGCTTCTTTCTTACTGAGACTGGCTCTGCACATGACCTTGAGGCAGGGAGCTTCCCCTTTGAGTTTCAGTTTCCTCATATGTGAAATGGGAATAAATGCTTCCTAATGCAGGGATTTGGGAAATGATGATTAAGTTAAATAGTGTCACTAAAGTGCTTTACTAGTACATGGTGTTTGGTAGCCCGTGTAGTAACTAACAATCAGCATCACTTAATTCCTTCTTCCCTGGCGGGACAACCCAGAGGAAAGAGGGGCCAACTTTGGGAGAAGAAAGGGGAAAGGAAACGGGGTCTCCCATTGAAGTGGAAACCCCTTTTGGTATCAGTGGGTGTGGCCCTCTCAGACCCCTGGAGTGGGTGATCTTACTGGACTTGCCTTACCAAGTCTCTGGGCCTCCCAAAGGCTCCTAGGCCCTAAATGTCATAACAAAAAGCTCAGCAGTGGCCTTGGGCTCCCCCAGCTACAGAGAGCAGATCTGCAAACCTTCCAGCCCCATGCAGCTCCCCAGCTCTCTGGTGCCTGGGCAGAAATGGAAGTCTGCCTGTCTATAGCTGGTCTCACTTTGTCCGCCCCCTGCCTTTTCACTGCCCCCATGTCCGCAAGTGTTGTGAGTGACTTTAGAGCCCCTGTCCTCCACTGCTCTAGCCCCTCCAGAGACCTCTTCTTCCGCTCATGCGTTGTCCTTCCTGCTCGCAACATTCCTTGGTTGGCGGTGGCCCCGCCCCCTTGCAGCTTCTCCTCCCTGTGTTGATGTGATGCCCTGGGCTTGTCTTGCTTCAGTTCAGGCCAAGCTGCTGACCTCCCTTTGGCCTCAGGCCTTACCTTGCCTTGCTCACTAAAGGCAAAATGGGCCAGGTCCCTTTGGGGTTCTAATCCAGGATGTTCTAGGATGCTAGCCAGCTTCAGGCTTGGACACAGGAAGTTGTGGAATGAGCATTTGCTTGCTATAGTCACCGGAGTTACTGCTCCTCATTCTCATTGTTCAGGGCTGTTTTCCGAGGGGCCCCAGCTTTCCTGAGGCTACGTGTGTGAGGGTGCCGGTGGCTGAGGCTGTGGTGGGCTGTGGGTGTAGGCTGTGATTTTCTGCCACAATGGGGCATGTTGACAGTTGTGGGAGAAGGGGCTGGTAGCCAGAGCAGACGAAGCCCACACATTGGTATCCAGCTGACCATCACTGTCAGGGTGTGTCCGGTGACGGCCACAGGATCTTGAGGTCTGGGGGGTGAAACGCAGAGAGACTGCTGGCCTGCTCTGCCTGTCCCTGCCCAGCCAGCTCCTCCCCTGTTACCTACCCTCCCCCTCACCGTGTCACTTCTGCCAGTCAGGTGAGATGGGACCCAACTGGTTGGTTACTAATAATAGTAACTGAGACACTGAAGTTTGGGTGACTGTTTTACATTGGAGCAATTCAAGGTGTAACTTCACCCTCACTCGTTTCCTTGAGCAGGAGAGAGGAGTGAGGCCACATACCCGCCCACACTGTTCTTTACAAACAATAGTAGTTCTCTATTGCTGCTGTGACAAATTAACGTGAACGAAGTGGCTTGAAACAACACACATTTATTCTCTTACAGTTTTGGAGGTTGCCAGTCTAAAATGCATCTTATGGGGCTAAAATCAGGGTGTGGGGAGACTGGCTACTTCTGGAGGTTCCAGGGGAGAATCTGTTCCTTGTCGCTCCCAGCTTCTGGCGGCTGCGGGCATTCCTGTGACCTCATCACCTCCATCTCTACTTTCAGCATAACATTGCCTTTTTATTCTGTGGAGTCAAATCTTCCTTTGCCTCCTTCTTGTAAGGACACTTGTGATTATATTTAGGGCCTACCTCGATAATCCAGGATAATCTCCCTATCTCAAAATCCTTAATGACATCTGCAAAGTCTCTTTTGCCATATAAGGTAACAGTTAACAGTTTCCAGGGATTAGAATGCTGAAATTTTTTGGTGGGGGCGGGGAGCATTATTCTGCCCACCACAGGAACCAACTGCAATGTCACTGCAGGCACCATCCTCAGGGACCCCCTCTTGGGCACCCACAGCTGCTGGCTTCCTCCATGAGGTCATTCGCAGTGTCTGTCTCCCCACAGCCTGGGAGCCATTGTGGGCAGGGCCTCGGCCTGCTGCACCTCTGGCCTCTGAGCCCAGTCTGAGACCATGGTAGCCAGAGCTCAGGGATATTTGGAATAGAGAGTGTGCTGGCCTGTCCCCTTGGGTTTCCCCATTGACCGGACCCAGTCTTGCACTTGACAGTATGTTAGGCTTCTCAGAGTGGAGCACAGCTCATGTCAGACATTCACGCAGTAAACCCAGTGACATGCAGGGGAGACCACTTGATCCCCACCATCACCCTATAAGGTCTGGAGCCAGGCTGGGAGCCCCATTTTGCAGATAAGTATACCAAGGCCAATTGAGGCTAAGTCCTACCTGATGCAGAGGTGTGTGAGGGGAGCAAGGCGTGGGGATAGGTTGGACAGATAAACTGGAAAAGACATTCATTTTACAGATGAGAAATCTGTTTTGCCCCTCCCTGAGCCTCAGTGTCCCCATCTGAAGGTGAGGATGTTGATGGGACATTCTGAGGCTCTGACTTGTCCTCTGACTAGGCATGG